CTGTAACAAGACAGAAAGCCCAGAGATAAACCCACGCACCTATGGTCAACTAATCTATGACAAAGGAGGCAAGGATATACAATGGAGAAAAGACAGCCTCTTCAATAAGTGGTGTTGGGAAAACTGAACAGCTACATGTAAAAGAATGAAATTAGAACACTCCCTAACACCATACACAAAAATAAACTCAAAATGGATTAGAGACCTAAATGTAAGACCGGACACTATAAAGCTCTTAGAGGAAAACATAGGAAGAACACTCCTTGACATAAATCACAGCAAGATCTTTTTTGATCCACCTCCTAGAGTAATGGAAATAAAAAGAAAAATAAACAAATGAGACCTAATGAAACTTCAAAGCTTTTGCACAGCAAAGGAAACCATAAACAAGCGAAAAGACAACCCTCAGAATGGGAGAAAATATTTGCAAATGAATCAACGAACAAAGGATTAATCTCCAAATAAACAGCTCATGCAGCTCAATATGAAAAAACAAACAACCCAATGCAAAAATGTGCAGAAGACGTAAATAGACGTTTCTCCAAAGAAGACATACAGATGGCCAAGAAGCACATGAAAAGCTGCTCAACATCACTAATTATTAGAGAAATGCAAATCAAAACTACAATGAGGTATCACCTCACACCAGCTAGAATGGGCATCATCAGAAAATCTACAAACAACAAATGCCGGAGAGGGTGTGGAGAAAAGGGAACCCTCTTGCACTGTTGGTGGGAATGTAAATTGATACAGCCACTATGGAGAACAGTATGGAGGTTTCTTAGAAAACTAAAAATAGAATTAGCATAAGATCCAGCAATCCCACTACTGGGCATATACCCAGAGAAAACCATAATTCAAAAAGACACATGCACCCCAACGTTCATTGCAGCACTATTTACAATAGCCAGGTCATGGAAAAAACCTAAATGCCCATCGACAGATGAATGGGTAAAGAAGATGTGGTACATATATACAATGGAATATTACTCAGCCATAAAAAGGAACGAAATTGGGTCATTTGTGGAGACATGGGTGGATCTGGAGACTGTCATACAGAGTGAAGTTAGTCAGAAAGAGAAAAACAAATATCGTACATTAACGCATATATGTGGAACCTAAAAAAATGGTACAGATGAACCGGTTTGCCGGGCAGAAGTTGAGACACAGATGTAGAGAACAAACGTATGGACACCAAAGGGGAAAGTGGTGGGGGCGCGGGGGTGGTGGTGTGATGAATTGGGCGATTGGGATTGACATGTATACACTGATGTGTATAAAATGGATGACTAATAAGAACTTGCTGTATAAAAAAATAAATAAAATAAAATTCAAAAAACATAAAAATAAATAAATAAATAAAATTCACAAGGCAGATCAAAAGACTATAATGGCCAAGACAACTTTGAAAAAGGAGTACAAAGTTGGAGGACTTTCACTACATGATTTCAAGACTCCTTATAAAGCTGTAATAACAAAGACAGTGAGGTATTGGCATAAACATTGACAAATATACCAACAGAATAGAGTAGAGAATTCAGAAATACACCCAACACATGTTTGAGCAACTGTTTTCAACATAAGTGCAAAGGCAATGGGGGGAAAGGTTAGTATTCTCATCAAACATTTCTGAAGCTATTTGATATCTCATGTAAAACAAACAAACAAGAAAAAGTGAATCCATACCTCACATTATATTAAAAAACTAACTCAAAACAAATCATAGACCTAGACTTAAAACTATAAACTTGGAGACGAAAACAAAAGAGAACATCTTTGTGAACTTGGGTTAGGTAAAGATTCCTGATATATGACACCAAAAGCATGATCCATATAAGAACAAATCAATTAACTGATCCATCAGAATTTAGAACTTGCTGTTCAAAAGATACTGTTGAAAGGATGAAAAGACAAGGCACAGACTGGGAGAAAATATTTGCAGTTGGTATATCTGACGAATACTTGTGTTCAAAATATATAAAGAACTCTTAAAACTCAACAATAAAAATAACTCAATTTTTTAAATGGGTGAAAGATGTGAATAGACATTTCATCAAAGAATATATTTGGATGGCAAATATGCACATAAACCGACGCTCAACACCATTTTTAAAAAATAAATTTATTTATTTATTTTTGGCTGCATTGGGTCTCCATTACTGTGTGTGGGCTTTCTCTAGTTGCAGTTCGTTGCGGTGCGCAGGCTTCTCATTGTGGTGGCTTGTCTTGTTGCGGAGCACGGGCTCTAGGCATGCTGGCTTCAGTAGCTGTGGCACGCGGGCTTCAGTAGTTGTGGTGCACAGGCTTAGTTGCTCCGCGGCATGTGGGATCTTCCTGGCCCAGGGCTCGAACCCGTGTCCCCTGCACTGGCAGGCAGATTCTCCACCACTGCGCCACCAGGGAAGCCCAACATCATTAATAATTAGGAAAATACAAATTAAAACCAATGAGAAACCACCACACACCTGTCAGAATGGCTAAAATTAAAAAGACTGACTGTTACCAAGAGTCGGCAAGGATGTGGAAGAACTAAAATGGTCATAGTTGCTGATGGGAATACAAAATGGCACAACCCACTTTGGAAAACGATTGGTACTTTCTTTAAAATTAAATGGATACCTACTATACGATCCAGACATTCTATTCCTATGCATTTACTCCAGAGAAATGAAAACATATGTTCACACAAAGACTTATACATGAATGTTCATATTATCTTTATTTGTAACAGCTAAACACTGGAATCAATCCAAATGTCCAGCAGCAATTGACGGTATAAGCAAACTGTGGTAAATACATTTAATGGAACACTCCTTAGTAATAAGAAGGAATGAATTATTTATGAAACAATACGGATGAATCTCAAAACATGTTGAGTGAAAGAAGCCAGACCCCTCCCACCCCCAACACACGCAGAAAAGTATCTGCTGTATGATTCCGTTTATATAAAATTCTAGAAAGTGCAAACTAATCTTGACTGAAAACACATCCACGGTTGCCTGGCAGTGGAAGGTAGAGGGCAGGGAGGAGAGGGACAAAAGGATTATAAATGGACGTGAGGAAACATTGCGGGTGATGGATATGTCCATTATCTTCATTGTGATGATGGTTTTATGGGGTTTTATATATATATCAAAACATAGCAAGCTGCAAAGTTTAAATATTTGCAGTTTAACTGTACCTTAGTTAAAGCTGTTTTTTAAAAAATTATGAGACAAATAAGCTATCTGCATAGTCTCAAAGTATCTCCCCATAAGATACTTAATGATTACAAAGGGAAAAGTAGTAACTTTATAGTCGAGAAACCTAGCAGATACTACCTTAACTAAGGGATCAATCTTAACATCACCAGAATTAAGACATCTTGACATGTATCTCTCCTGATATGCTGCACTGAGAAGGTCACAGCATCACTTTTGTGGTATTCTACCAAAAATGTGTAATCTGAATTTAATCATGAGAAAAATCAGACAGAACCAAGTTGAGTGACACTCTTAAGGAAATAACGGGTCAGTACTCTTCAAAAGAATCAAGGTCATGAAAAGACAAAGGCAGACTGAGGAACTGTTACAGCTCAGAGGAGACCAAATAAGGAGAAATAAAAACTAAAGGCAATGAGGGAATATGGGGTGGATGCTGTACCAGAAAAAGGTCATTAGGAGGACAACAGGAAAAATGCAAACAAGGTGTGTAGATTATTTAGTAAGACTATATCAATGTTAATTTCCCAGTTTCAGTAATTATACAAGATGTTAATATTAAGAGAAGCTAGATGAAGGGTGTATGACCTGCATATGAATAGTCATGGCAGCTTTATTTATAATAATCTCAAACTGGAAATAACCCAGTTGCCCATCCTTTGGTGAATGGATAAATAAGTTAGGGTATATTCATAATGGAACACTATTCAGCAATAAAAATACAAACTACTGATACAACAAACATGGATGAAGCTCAAAAACATAATTCTCAAAAAAAAAAAAGACTCAAGAGAGTACATACTGTATGATTCCATTTATATGAATTTCTTCAACAGGCAGAACCAATCTATAATGAGAATGCAGATCAGCAGTTGCCTGGGCTGGGGGTTGTGAGGCATGATGGCAAAAAGGCACAGAGGAACTTCTGGGGATGATAGCAATGCTCTTCTAACTTATCTGATTTTGAAGACACAGTCGGTATCTATCTCATTTAAACTCAGTCTTGCAGAATACTTAAATACAGAGTTGTAGAAATGGGACAGAAAGTTATTCCACGTAGCGACAGTGGCGTGAGCAAAGCCATAGAAGTGGGAGATTGAGTATAGGGACCAGCCGATCGTTTATTTTTTTTTAATTAACCGTGCACATAATTTGCATACAACAAAATGCACCCATTTCAAGTCGATAATTCGAAGAATTTTAAGAAACGTATACAGACCCACGTGACTACCATTCCATAGAGAGCTTCCTTTTCAAAATTACCACTTCAAGCTGTTTCTGTTTACTGTTCGGATATGGAATGGGTCATTTGAAAATTGATTCTGGAACAAATTTAAAGCAGGACCCTTAGAAGGTTTCCCTCTCAGTTTGTCAGACCTACTCAGTGGTCTTGAAGAGAGGCCAACCTCCCACATTTCACGCCACGAGATGCCAGGGAGACCACACTTCTGGGATTCACCCTAACAGCCCCAGTCCGCGTGTGGACTCAACACTCTGCTCCAGGTCTGACTCCCTGGCTCTGCAGACGCCCTGACCCCATGATCTAGCTCCTGACACCATCCTCAGGCCTGTCTCCTGGTGTCAGAACCCACTTCTTCAGTTTACCTGCCTGTCATCCTACCCGTTCAACTCTGCAAGCTGCCTTGATCGCGGCAACACCTGCTGTGTCCTGTTAAGGCACCCCCTAAACCAGTCTCAGCTTCCTGGGGACCCCTTGCCCCAGCTCCCAGCACACAGGACCCAGGACCAAGTTGCAACCATCATAGAATTCAAGGGGCATGGGGACGGAGTGCCACCTACCTGAGCCACAAAGAGCTGGAACTCGTCAGGCAGAATCCATGAGCGAGGGTAGAAGTTGTACTCCTCAGGAAAGAGATTCTGCATGATTCTTACTGCTCTGCTCAGAGTAATTTTACGCACCATCTCCGTCATGCCTGGGGAGAAGAGAAGTTGTGAGGTTTTAACAACAGTGGGCCACTAGCTATAAAACAGCCATAAGTGGGGACTTTTAAAACCACCCACCCGACATATTCACTTTTTCAGACAGGATTTTAAAAAAAGGTCTGAGTGGTTCCCCACAGCAGTGATTCATGGTTTGGAAAGACCTAGCAAATTAATGAAAAACTTGAGGGAATAGATGGATATTTTTTCTCATAAAAATGAAGCATCAATTTAAAAGAATGAGTTTCCACCTAGTTTATTATTCCACTCTTTGTCAGCCCCCTAGATAACAAATAAAGAGAAGAATTTATATCTTGCACTTGAAACTTAATAACCGCTCTAATTCTAGGCCACCACGCATACCTCTGGGATTCCTTCCATTTTATACCCCGGAGAATATTAACTAGTGGGCTCTGGTTACATTATGAGAAGCTTAATTAAGTTGCTTTGTTTTAATCTTTCATGAGTATTAAAGATATAAAACAGAAAAATACACACCTTTCAGCAGAACATCTGTCTCCTTGAAATAAGGACACGAAGTGGAGAGGTTAGCACAGCGTAATTTATAGTTTAAGGGGAAAAAATGGAATCTGTAGGAGTTCTTCAGTTATGAGTACTGAAACTGACATTGATCATATCTCATTAATTTGCCCAGAGGGGATGGAAATGTCTCACTTATGAAACATTTTAAAAGAATGGTAGTTTTTTTCCTTGTCACATCTTTAGAAATGCTGACAAGAAAAGAAACGGAGTATGTATCTTAGCAAATTTTAGGCAAATAGGTAAAAATTATTTAAAATTTTAGCATGCTTATTTCTTAAGGCAAATATCACTGCTCAAAAAAATGGAGACTAAAAATGGCCTTCACCCTGATAGGGGCCACACAGTTCCATCAATAACTAGAAATTTGCTAGCAAAGTCATTTTTAATAGAAAGTACAAAGTTCCAAGTCAGCTTGGCAGGTCCAAATTACTGCATTGCAAATGGGCAAAGTCAGAATGCATGAGGTTTCTCTAAACTACGTTCAGGAAGCAAAGGGTGAACACTGAGAATGAAGGCTTTAATAATCTACTTCTTGCTTCCCTCAGCATATTAAAAAGAGCAATAAAAATCTAAAAGATGGCAACTTCAAGATGTCAGTGCCTAGGTTGTTAGCTCTTGTTTAGAAGGAGATAGAGAAGATTAAAAAAGAAATAAAGGAGCTTTAAAGGCACTAATAAACTGTGCTCTAACACGGCTTCTCTGATATTAGAGGAAACTCACTGAGGACACTTTGCTGAACTTCCCAAGAAATCAGTATGAGTCCAAAAATTAGACCTATTTCCTTTTATTCCCCCATGAGATTAGAATTTTTGAGTTACAAACACTGGAGCTGAACGCAAAGTACACGAAATTCCAACTTCTTTGGAAATGTTTTAGTTGTATTTCACATTTTAGTTATAGTATTAAACTGAAAACCTGCTTAACTGAGTGCAACACAGCACCTTACAGCAAATATGTGATGCTCCCTGGCCAAACAGTGCTGTGGTATTGTCCGAGTTTTAATGGCCATGTGACAGGAGAAGGTTTGCTTTCAGAAATCCCTCGGCGGGTCAGAAGGACTCACATAACACACGCAGGAGTGCTGTGAGTACAGGAGTGTGGTTCGAATGCTCCAGAGAAGCTTTGTGAAAACCAATGTCCAGCAGATGGAGTAAGTATTCATTTTAAATCTGCAGTGGCTCCTTTTGTCATGCGGGTCACCAGCCCCCATGCCGGCTAACAGATCCGTTTCTGAGTTTACATCTGCGTCTGTCTCCAGATAGTTCTCTACAAAACCCAGCCAACTTAAGAAGCATCCCTTCAAGCCACTGGCTACCTTTCCCACGGGCTGTAGACGGCTCACCCCGAACCCTGCCTCAATGCCTGTCTCTGGAAGGCAGCAGTGTCAACCTCCCTCAATCCACTTTTACTGACGCCTTTGTTCCTCCGCCATCTTTAAGCTGCAGGGGAAGCATCTCTGAGCCCTCACGAGCCCCCATGCGGTAGCTGCAAGCATCCCTGCCTCTGGCAGGGGCTCAGAGAGAGATGTGGGCTCTGTCATCTCTCAGTAAGATGCGGACAAGAGTAGCTGCTCCCGAGCATATGCTTCCAGAGTAAATCTGTAAAGAGGGAGGTCACTGTCAGGCCATGCTGGCTCCAGACTCTGTCTACCTTCTCCAAGCAGCTGCAGCACGTGACCCCTCCCTGTGACCCCTGCCCGAGGCTCTGGGACCCATTCTGACCTGAGGTAGAAGCTCTAGGTCCAACCATTAGCTCCCCTTTGGGGAGCTTGGACCCTTTCTTTGTAGTCCAGTTAGATAAGGAGGATTTTAATTACTTCTCTGAGGCTCTGTTGCCTGTCCCCAAAGTTTGGTCACCGGTCCTTAGCTCCTGGTGCCTGAGTGGCTGCCTCAGCGACGCCTTTGCCCTGCAGTCTCCGATGTTCCTCCTCTGTTCCCCCTAAGCCTCCCCTGCAAGGGCTGGAGTCCTCATGTGACTTGAGCCCACTGGCTGGGCTCCTGCTATACTAACAGGTTCTTTTGAGGCTGACTGTCTACCTGCACTTCTCAAGAAGGTCTGTTCCTAGATGTCCCTATTGTGGCCGTTCCCCTGTCGGTTGGGGAAAGCCCCTAACTCAGGCTGTAGCTTCTCACCCAAGAGCTTGCCTCCTGCCACTGCTTCTGGGCCTGGGTTCTTCTGTCTGCCTCACTGGAGTCCCAGGGCCTCGGGTGGTCTCGGCCCATTGGTGTTACACAGGAGTCTGATCTCAGGCTTGCCCACACAGGCCTACTTAGCCCAATTTAAGACAAAACAAAACAAATCAAACACACAGTCTGAGCTATGTTGGGAGTGCTATTCAACCCAAGTATCATTTATAACAATAATTCTTGGCAAAAACACATTAAAACCACCAAACAACAAGCAAACATTGATACTTTCAGATCCTGGATACTGCAGTGGCCTCTTAGCTGTTTCCTCTCTCAGCCTTTCCACCCCAAACCCCCGACCTGCACCCCTGCCTCCAATGCATTCCCTCTGGCAGAGCTTTCCAAACTGCAGGCTGGGCCACGTCACTCTCTAGCTTAGAAATTTCTCAGTGGCTCCCGGTGAAGTTTGGGCCCTGCCTTTCACCTCTCCACCGCCCTATCAAACTTGACCCTTTCTAACTAGCATGGGCCACGTGCCCTTTGCTGAACGAGCAACGTGCAAAGCTTTCCATGCCTTTGCACCCCATCTGCTCCCTTGATTTGCAAGGGGGACAGGCCCATCCATCCCTGGAGGCTCAGTTCACATTCAATCCTCTTTTCCAGGATCTCTTGCCCTGCGTGCCCCCCCAAGCAAATCTGGGTTAGGTCACGTGCCCTTGTTCCACATTCGCACAGCATCCCTCTGGCATGGTGCTTATTTTGTATTTGCCTTCTCTCTTTACGTGCTTTTCTCCTTGTTTTTGTATCCCTAGCCCAGACCAGTGCTTGGCAGATGGCTGTCCCCAGAGATCCCTCGCTGGAGCCCCCTCCTCCTCTGACAAAGTCCCCTCCTCAGGGTGGGCTCTCAGGCACCACCCGCCACGTGGTGCCATACATCTCAGGCCCGGAAACTCAGCAAAAAAAACTGTTGCTTGCGAAGCTGAGAATTGATGGTTCTAGGCTTTCTTAAGGCAAAGACATATCTAAATCAGATTATTTTTAGTGAAAGTCTTAATTCATCAGTTAAGATATAATAACATATCTTGAAGGAAATTGCCCACAGAAAAGTGGCTAAAATCTAACGTGCTGACACGAACAAAATAAATTACTTCCATATGCATATCCAAAAGTTTTCAGTTTATTCAGCATGTGAAGTGTTTATCCTTGCCTGGCACGTCCACTAGAACTTACTCTAAGTAATACACAGTGCATACAAAATGCATCTTCAGAACAATGGGATATATCACAGACAGAAGATAAGCGTGGACACCAATGGGAGCCAAAGGACAGACCATTCTGGAATCACCCCATCACTAAGGATTGTTGTCTTTCACAGGGCAGAGTGTGGCGGCCCTGGCCCACTGCCTCCGGGCCTGCTTTGTCACTGGAGCTAATTAATTGCTGTTAGTAAAGTGGAAAATTGTACGTACTTATCACTGGCACATGGAACGTGAGATGGGGCAAATGTGCTTCTTTAGAATGAATATTCTTATATCACCTTTAACGAAACTAGCCCTTTGAGTGTATTTTTTTCTGTATTTCTATTTGCGTCCCAAATGTAGAGCTATAGCGACTCCTTCCTTCCGACTCTCGGCCACCAGATGAGGCGTGAGCAAATAGGGAACATGTCAGTGAAGCCTCATTTGATAATTCATGTCTTGGGAACTCTGTCCATATTCAAAGAGTTGTTCTCTTCCAAATTATGTTCTCCCAATATCCCAATAAGCTCTTTTAGTGGCATCAAACGTCATCTTTTATGAGCAGCAAGACAGAGAAAATAATAGCTATCCCATTAAACTGTGCAAGGACCCTGGCTGCAAGAGTCCTCCTTATTCTCTGACAAAACACTTTCTCCTCTAAGAACCAATCTGACCTTGGGTTAATTTTCTAGCTCTGTTCCCCAGGAAACCAATAAAGGGAGAAAGTTAGCTGTGTGACTAGACAACAAAGCATATGGTTAAAATGATCCCTTATTGTCATCTTGCATAAATACCTGGTAGGGAGCCACAGCTCCGGGCTTTCCTGAGTGTAGTGAACCTTGTAACTGAGCATGACCCTGGTGGGGACCCTGGAAGCTGTGCTGTGGAGGAGCTATGTGAGCTATTGGCTCCTACAGGGTTTCTAAGTCAAGGGAGACCCACATCCACCAATGTGGATCTTGTCTCTTTGCACCTGAGCTTTCACTTACGGAGCCAAAGACTAGCTCTGGAACCCTTGCCATGACGCCACTGAGAAGAAATGTCTGACACTGACTGACTGGCAAGCTGTGTTTCCTGTCCTGTATCCTTGTAAGTAACGCTGAGCCAGGTGGCCCATGGTGGTCTGTTTGCTTAGTTGAAAAACCCGCTAGTGGACATGGCATAACTCGCCCGTGTATAACGTATGGCTATTGGGTTTTGTGAGAGGTATTTTCTTAAAGACGTGGCATGGAATTCCAAAAAAAAAGAGTAAGTTGATCCTCCTCTTAAAAATGAGCATACATGAAACAACTAGAGAAAACAACTACACTCTGGCTGCAACTACGTAAACATACATAAACATGGTTAAGGTCTGGGAGAAATTCTAGAAATATTCACCTTGTGGTTTTGTTCAATGAGGGATGGGATTCATGGTGGCATGCTTTTTAAAAATTATATATCATTGTATCCTATATGGTTTGTGCCCATTATGTTAAAACTTCTGAAGATAAGTGGGACCCCTTTGGCTGGGATCATACCCAGATGAACCAAATGTCCCCTTCTCCCTACACATGCCCACTTAACTTACCCAGCCTCTTCACTTAGCCATTCAAAATAATGAATAGTAATCATGGCAGAAGAGGGTGGTAGAGATTAATAGTAAAACGGAAAGGTATATGATGGGCGGAGGCTGGGAGTGGCGTGAAGGGGCATCTCGGAGTGTTGGCTGTGACACCTGTGTGGCACCGAGCCCCCCTTGCAGTCTCACTAGACATTAGTCTCACTAGACAATGCCTTCAGGTTAAAGGCAGAGGCTGTCCGCAGCTCCTGTTCCCAGTATGGAGACTGGTGTATTTCGATTTTAAAAGGGTACCTGCAAATACGATACTTAAAGAAAATGGAAGCTGCGAACCCCATTTCTGTGATACTGTCCCAGAATTTTAGTACTTCTGTTTTCCGTCTCCTGCATATTAAATAGAAATTGAAATGGTCTATTTTATTTTACTTATTTGTTTGTTTGTTTATTATCTTAGTGCAACATGCAGCTTTTATTAATGTTAGACTAACTCTGTAGGGGAAACGGTTCATTTTATTGCTTTAAGGTCCTGCTCTCTCCTTTCCCTCCAATGGGCATAAAACTAGGGCTGCCTCCGATTCGCCATCAGTAGGTGAGACAGCAGTTACGGAGGGCCTCGGTGTGCCTGGAAGGACTGCAGGAGCCGTGGGAACATCCAGAAGTGTAGGAGGCACGGCCCCTCCCAGGACCTCACGGTCTACCTGGGCAAGCCACACACGTAGACGTATTCAGAGTCCACGTTCACTGAGTCATTGAAATGTTCAAGAAACTATGGTGAGTGCAAATGGACTATTTTTTTTTTTTTTCCTTTTGAGAATATAGTCCCCTCATGACGCTACCATATTATATCTGAAATCCAAAAGGTGAAAGTCATGTTCTTCCGCCGGTGGAATTAGACCGGAAGAGCCTGTCTTTTTACGTTTTGGAACCTCCAGTCTTAAAACCCTTGGTGAGTTAAGTCCTGATCACCTTGCCTCCCAAGGTCACGGCACTGAGGCAGCGTGTAGGCAGCCATTCCCAATTAAGAGCCCTCCAGTTTGATGTCTAAACACTGTTATGTTTTTGTCGAAGAGCGTACCCTGAGGCTCAGCCCTGGAAACGTTTTTAAATGCCAACAATAACAGTGGATACCTGGAAACTTGTTCACTAGACCGGAGAATATGTCACTGTCGTGAAATGAAACTCCATGCCAGTAGATGTCACAAGGCAAGCGTCGGCCAAATGGGAACTAGAAGAAAGAGGGGAAATGTGATGAATGACGGGAACAAGAAGCGCAGCTCCGGCACCGAGGGTCTCTTCTGTACAAACTCCCAGCGGCCTGGCACACATCACATGATTTAACGCTCATAATAAGCATGTGAAGTTGCTGACCTTCTTTCCCATGTTGCAGGGGAAGAAACAGATTAAGACAGGCTAAGTAACTGTCTCAGGGTCACAGAGAGGCAGAGAGGCAGAGTTCTGATTCTGCGTGGCGGGCACTGTACTAGTGACCTTAGAGGCACCCTTTTGTTAGAATCCTCATAACCATCCTAGAAAGCATGATGCCCATTTCACTGATGAGAAAATTGGGGCTGAGAGGGGTAATGTAACATGCCCAAGGCTGCACAGAGCTGGAAATGGGAAAAGTCAGGAACTGAATGCAGGGCTGAATTCCAAACCATACTTCTCTTTATCTGAAGACCACAACATTCAAACCAGTCCCCCCAGAACGAGCTTTCACAATCTCTTTCTATCTCTTTCTCTCTCTTCCTCTGTCTCTTACACACACACACACACACACACACACACACACAGAGACACAGTCCACAAGGGCAGGATATATTCCCCAGTGCCTAAAATGGTTCCTGGCATTCAACAAAGACTTTTTGAATGAATGAATGAACAAACCAGGAATGGTTCTCTGACTCACGATGAGATAACCAGGTTCTCTCTTCCAGGAATATGGAAATCAGAGATGCCCGGCAGCCTCTGCTGGCCCTTGCACTGGAAGTGATCAAAAGCCAGAGCCCGGCAGCTGTGCTTGGCCGTGTGCACAGCCTGACAGAGAAGCAAAGGCAGCCAGTCTGCTGAGAGAGGAGAAAGGAGCAGGTGCAGAGAGAAAAGCAGAGATGAGGCCATGTGGCCCTGGCAACACAGACTGAGGTGGCCTCAGTTCCCAGGGCTTCTAGGTCCTCGGCCCAGACCCTTCTGAGCCCGGCTGTCCCTTCTGTCCTTGGATCCTGTAAGGCAGCCTCACACCCATAGAATGCATCTCCTTTGCACAAACTATAGGGTTTCAATTACTTGCAACCAGAAAACCCCTCGCTGAGACCAAAGGGCCTGCTCTTTCTACTACATCTTGCTGCCTCTCCACAAGTTCTGCACTTACACAATGTATTTTTAAAATGCGTAACTCAGATGACCCCCCTTAAGGGAAAAGAGTGAGGACACGTTATTTCATATTTAGAACCTGCTTGTTAAAAGACCAAATGAAGAGAAATGTCAACACATTAAACAAAATCATCCAATTTTCCCGTCCTAAGACTACAGTTAATCAGAATTTTTATCTGCTCCAAGTTGAGAGGGCTAAGTTCCAGTGAGAGAACACAGCATTAGCAATGAAATGGTGGTGACTCAATGCTTTCCAACGATTCCGAATTAAAATGAAGGCAAACAGACTCAAGGCCTTTAAATCATTCACATTATCTCAAAACTGTGCCAAAGTGAGACATATAGTACACACTCTATTAGCATTAACAACTTCCATCTATTAAGTGCTAATATAGAGGAGGGAAAAATAACTTAACCAGGGAGGTTCCTCTAAAAAGCAGACTATCCAGGCAAAGTTTACTAAGATCCAAGTGGCTTTGCTGCCCACACTGCAGGAGCAACACGTGCTCCATGTCAGTGGATTACTGAGGACTCCTTATCACCCTTATGATCTCCTTTCAGTTCTTGGCCCTTTAATGATTCCTAAATCAACCTTTCATTCAGAGCCCTTAGCTCATTCAGTTTTGAGAAACTATCTTTTTCTAAATCAATTTATTCGGTAATTTCTTTGTGCCAGGCACTGTGCTAGGTACCGAGAACACAGAGAAACACAATTTTAAGTAGGTCCCAGGACTTCATAATCCCACGTCTTTTTAAGATCTTTTTAAAAACTGCTTAAACAGCTAACATCATGCTCAATGGTGAAAAACTGAAAGCTTTTCCTCTAATATCAGGAATGAGACAGGGCTACTCACTTTTGCCACTTCTGTGCAACACAGTATTGGAAGTTCTAGCCAGAGCAACAGGCAAGAAAAAGAAGTAAGAAGCATCCGAATTGGAAAGGAGGAAGTAAAATTATGTTTGCAGATGACATGATCTTATATGTAGAAAATCCTAAAGATCACACACACACACACACACACACACAACCACACAAACTGTTAGAAATAATAAATGAATTCAGCAAAATTGCTGGATACAAAATCAATACAAAAAAATCAGTTATTTTTCTATATATTGACCGTGAACAGTCCAAAAAGGAAATTAAGAAAACAATTCAATTTACAATAGCATCAAAAAGAATAAAATACTTAGGAATTAACCAAGGAGGCAAAGACCTGTACACTGAAAATTACAAAATGATGCCGAAAGAAATGAAAGACACACATAAATGGAAAGATATCTCATGTTCAAGGATTGGATTTCCTATTATTAAGATGTCAACACTACTCAAAGTGATATATAGAGTCAACGCAATCCCTACCAAAATTCCAGTGACCAATTTTTTTTTCTTGCAGAAATAGAAAAATCCATCCTAAAATTCATATGGAATATCAAGGGATCCCAAATAGCCAAAACAATCTTGGAAATGTCACACTTCCTGATGCCAAAACGTATAACAAAGCTACAGTAATCAAAACAGTGCATAAGATAACAATGAGATACCACTACACACCTTAGAATGGCCAAAATCCAAAACACTAACAACACCAAGCGCTGAAGAGGATGTGGAGCAACAGGAACTCTTCGTCCGTTGCCGGTGGGATGCAAAATGGTGCAGCGACTTTGGAAGACAGTTTGGCGGTTTCTTACAAAACTAAACATACTCTTACCATATGATCCAGCAATTGTGCTCCTTGGCATTTACTCAAATTAGTTAAAAACGTATGTCCACAAAAAATCCTCCACGCAAATGTTTATAGCAGCTTTATCCATAACTGCCAAGACTTGGAGGCAACCAAGATGTCCTTCAGTAAGTGAATGAATAAATAAACTGTGGAACAGCCAGACAATGCAATTTTATTCAGCACTAAAAAGAAATGATCAAGCCACGAAAAGACGTGGAGAAATCTTAAATGCGTATTATTAAGTGAAAGAAGCCCATCTGAAAAGGCTACATACTGTATGATCCCAATTATATGACATTCTGGAAAAGGCAAAACTACAGAGACAGTACAAGGATCAGTGGTTGCCAGGGGTTAGGAGAGAGGGAGGAATAAATAGGTAAAGCGCAGGTGATTTTTAGGGGAGTGAAACTACTCTACGTGATACCATAATGGTGAATACATGTCATTATACATTTGTCTAAACCCAGAGAATGTACACCACCAAAAGTGAACACTAATGAACTATGAACTTTGGGTGATAAGAATCTGCAATGTAGGTTCATTGATTTTAACAAATGTACCATTTTAGTGTACTGTTTTTTTTATAGTGCATATGCGAGGGTAGTGATTATAAAGGAAAAACATCTCTGTTCCTTCTGCTCTATTTTGCTGTGAACTTAAAGCATCTCTAAATCATCTCTAAATCAAAAATGATAAAAATAACTTTTAAAAAACAGTATGGTACTGACGTAAAGACAGACATATAGACCAATGGAATAAGATAGAGAACCCAGAAATAAACTCTCACATATATGGTCAAATGATTTTTCAACAAGGATAACAAGACTATTCAATGGGGGAAAGACAGTCTTTTCAACAATTGGTGTTGGGAAAGTTGGACATCCACATACAAAAAATTGAAGTTGGACCCTTACCTTACACCATATACAAAAATTAACTCAAAGTGGGTCAAAGACTTAATCATAAAAGCTAAAACTATGAAACCCTTAGAAGAAAATATAGGGGATAATTTTCATGACATTGGACTTGGCAATGATTTCTTGGATATGACAACAAAAGCACAGACAACAAAAGAAAAAAATAAATAAATTGAACTTCATCAGAATTAAAATTTTTGCATCAAAGGACACTGTCAACAGAATAAAAAGGCAACCCATGGAATGGGAGAAAACATTTGAAAATCATAAATCTGATAAGGGATTAATATTCTGAATATATTTTAAAAACTACAACTAAAGAAAAACAACCCAGTTAAAAAATGGGCAAAAGGGGCTTCCCTGGTGGCGCAGTGGTTGAGAGTCCGCCTGCCGATGCAGGGGACACGGGTTCGCGCCCCGGTCCAGGAGGATCCCACGTGCCACGGAGTGGCTGGGCCCGTGAGCCATGGCCGCTGAGCCTGCACGTCCGGAGCCTGTGCTCCGCAACGGGAGAGGCCACAGCAGTGAGAGGCCCGCGTACCGCAAAAAAAAAAAATGGGCAAAGGACTTAAATAGACATTTCTGCAAAGAAGATATACAGATGGCTAATAACCACATGAAAAGATGCTCAACATCACTAATTATTAGGAAAATGCAAATCAAAACCACTTCACACCCATTAGGAAGACTATTATAAAAATAATAATAAAAAGGAAATAACAAGTGCTGATGAGGATGTAGAGAAATTGGAACCCTTGCGCATTGGTAATGTTAAAAACCACTGCGGAAAACAAAAATTATCACATGATCCAGCGATTCCTCTTCTGGGAATATACCCCAAAGAACTGAAATCAGGGATTCAAACAGATGTTGGTACACAAATGTCCACGGCAGCATTGTTCACAAGAGCCAAAAAGTAGAAACAGCCCAAGTGTCCACTGATTATCCATCAATAGGTAAAGAAAACGTGGAGTATACACACACTGTACTATCACTCAGCCTTAAGAAGGAATGAAGTTTTAACACCCACTACAACATAGATGAACCCTGAAGACATTATGCTAAGTCAAGTAAGCCAAACACAAAAGGACAAATGTTGTATGATTCCATTTCTGTGAGGTAACTGGAGTAGTCAAATTCACAAAGACAAAGTAGAATGGTGGTTTCCAGCGGCTGCGGGGAGGGAAGATGGGGAGTTATCGTTTAACGTGTAC